ACTAGTTTACTTTACTTGCTTTCAATTTCATTGCACCTTAGTGTAATCAAATCAATCTCTCCTTTGTAATCTTGTGATCCACTAGAGTCGAAGTTAATTTCCAACACGTATAATCCCTTAGGACAATCCCTACTCACTCTTTCTACGTTAGTAGTAGTGGTTTTTATAAATTTAAACTTGACCTAAAAGGCTTTTCTTGAACCGCACATTCACTGCATTATTTTGGCGTTCACAAGCGGCCTTGTCACTTGTCACGTGTCCTATGTATTCCTCAGTCTTCTCCCTCTTCTGTTGCAGACTTCAGCTATATTCTCCACAATCTCAGTTTATAGGTAGTTCTTGTAATATATTTTCCACTTGGTTTCTCCATAGGTTTACATGTGTCCCACGTCTTCATGTTCTTCTTCTCTCTGCCACAAGTTCTTATTTTATATATAACTTCTATATGTATCATGCATGTATATAGAAGTTAGTTGTAGACCCACGTTATCCTCAATTTTGGTAACCTCCTTCAACCAGACCTCTCTTTTCATAACGTTATGGCCTCCTAAATTTCAACATCTTTTAATAGTGGGCTAGCATCCTCAATTCCTATAACTTCCCATCTCGAGACTCTCCTTCTAGGTTTAGAGTTCATGGCGTCATAGGTTTCCTTTTGAATTTCAGCATTTTCTTTGATTCATCGTGGGCTATATTCTGGAATATATATATACATATATATATACATATATGTATATATATATATTCTATTCATAAATATAAATCACCTCCTTTTCCTCTACACCCACGTTTTCCTTGATTCTAGTAACCTCCCTCAACCAGACTTTCCTTTCTGATTTTTGGAATCCATGGCATCGTTTACTCCTTTGCTTCAGCAACTCCTCATCGTGGTTATATTTTAGTATAAATATATACATGTATATGAATATATATGCATCCATAAATACAATTTATCCCACGTTTCTTTTTCTCTTGCAAGCTTGTATTTTGACTTAGCAAGTTTAGTAACTAAATATCTTCCAAAAATCCCTATAAAGTAGGAGAGATTTTTGGCACCACGTTCTCCTCTTCTTGCTTAGTCAACTTTGGTTTTGCCATAATGGGAAACCTTCCTTCTAGGATTCTTGAAAACACGATCTTTTCATAAACCTTCCATAATACTAACTCTTAAAAGAATTGATCCACCGTGGTCAACACCATGGTAAGCTCAGTAGAACTCACCATGTGTGAAAAATAATTGGTTAGATGAACCTTGACTTTGGATAATTGTATGAGGTTGCATGTAGTATAGTGTTTCAATGTAATAATTCTTTCATTCCAAATAGGAAAATGTGGACCCTTCCTTTAAATATGGCAAGTCCTAATAGGACTCACCTCTTTCCTTTTAAAATAGAAGACCCCACATGGCAGGATTATACTGCCCACTTGTCTTTGATTTCAATTACTACGTAATATTACATAGCTTTTAATAATAACTTATTAGAGTTGCGATCCAGCATGGTAAGTTCCATTGGAACTCGCCACATGTCGCCTTTCTATTGGGCCAAAACTAATGGAGTAAATAAATTGTTTTGGAAAGTGTTTGTGAAGAAGAAGTGCAACCTTCATGAACATACAGTTTTGATATCTGGGCTTAGTTGAATCCCGGAGATAGTGCTACCACTTGTCTTCCGTTGCACGTGGGAGAGGCTTCAACTATCTTCAAGAAGCGATTACGCGCCTCTAAGCCTCGATATTCCCCGTTTTAATATATTGGTTCCAACAATTTGAAGATAGTTTTCTCTCCAATGGCTTCATCATCGTTGCTGTCCAACGCTGTTTCTTCGGTTTTTCAACTGAATATCGAGGCTTTTGATGGTAAAAATTACCTTCGTTGGAAAGGAAAAATTGAATTTTTCCTTCGACAATTGAAAATTGCTTATGTCTTGACTGAGCCATGTCCAACTCCTCCAGGAGACAAAACGCCGTCTGATCAAGTTAGTTCGATCAACGAGAAGATCTCAAGGTGGATTGACGATGATCACTTTTGTCGTAATCATATCCTTAGTGGTATGGTCAACACCTTTTATGATCAATACTCAAAGAAATGCAAGACTGCCAAAGAGTTGTGGGACATTCTCAAATTAGTCTACACAACTGAGGAGGCCTGCACCAAAAAGTTCTTGGCTTCTAATTATGTGGGCTTCAAGATTAAAGATGGAAGGTCAATCTTGGAGCAAGCACAGAAATTTCAACTCATAGCAAATGATATTATTGCTGCTAGAATGTCTCTTGATGACAACTTCCATGTAGGGGCTATTATTACAAAACTCCCTCTATCTTGGGAGGATTTTCGGAATAAGCTCATGCACAAAAAGGAAGATATTACTCTAGAGCAATTAATGCAACACATCTTCATTGAAGAAGAAACCAGAAATCGTGATGTCAAGCAAGATTCTAAAGAAACAACAGTAAAAGCTCATGTTGTTGAGGAAAGGTCTCACAACAAAACCGTCAAGAAGAATCACAAGAAGAATGATTTGAAAGCCAAGTCTTCTGAAAGCTTCAAAATACGTTTTGGCTCCGGTGTAAATGCAAAAGACAAAGGGTGTTTCTATTGTCATAAGATCGGTCAATTTGCTAAAGATTGTTGAAAACGAAAGGCTGATCTCATGAACCAGAAAGAGCCTAAGAAATACACTAAGGAAGATCTAACTGCTGTAATCACTGAGGCTTTTGTCATTGGAACCTCAGTGGAGTGGTGGATTGATACTGGAACAACTCATCATATTGCAATGAATCTTAACTCTTTCAAAACCTACGAAATAGTGGGGGATGGAATGTCAATGTTCATAGGAAATTCTTCCTCTTCCAAGGTTGTGGGTAAAGGAAACGTGGACTTAAAGTTTACTTCCGGAAAAGTGATTACTCTGAAAGATGTGCTACATGTTCCAGATATTCGCAAGAATTTGGTGTCTGGTGCCCTCCTCTCCAAGCATGGATTCAAGATGGTTTTCGAATCTAATAATTTCATTCTGTCTAAGAATGGTGTGTTTGTCGGGAAAGGCTATGCTGCAAATGGTATGTTTAAACCTAATGTTGAAAATGAAGTAATTTCTGCTTATATTGCTGAGTCAATTGATTTATGGCATGGTAGATTAGGCCACGTGAATTTTAAGTCCATTAATTAAATGGTTAATGAGGGGTTAATCATAGTTTGTGATAAAACACATATGGATCAATGTGTGACTTGTAGTAAATGCAAAATTACTAAGAAAACCTTCTATTCGATAGAGAGGAAATCCACTCTATTGGAATTGATCCATACTGATGTATGTGAAATGGACTTTCTATCACGTGGAGGGCATCGTTATTTTATCACATTTATTGATGATAATTCTAGATATACCTATGTCTATACTTTACGATCTAAAGATGAAGCTTTAGACAAGTTCAAGGCATATAAAGCAGAAGTTGAAAAGCAGCTGAATTCAAGCATCAAAGTTATTTGATCAGATAGAGGAGGAGAATACATCAAGTCTGAGTTTCAACATCTATGTGAAGATGAGGGAATCGAAAAACAACTGACAGCCTCTTATACTCCTCAACAAAATGGAGTAGCTGAAAGAAAGAACAGAACTTTGACAGAAATGGTGAACTCAAAGCTTACCAGTTCGGGCTTACCTAAAAATATGTGGGTAGAAGCTTTGTTATCTGCTTGCCACATTCTCAACAGAGTCCCACATAAGAAAGTCAATATGACTCCATATGAAGTATGGAGAGGAAGAAAGCCGAATGTTAATTATTTCAGAGTCTGGGGTTACTTAGCTCATGTTAGACTACCATATCAGCAGACGTCGAAGATTGGTCATAGAGGCATTGATTGTGTATTTATTGGTTATTCAATAACCAGTATAGCCTACAGATTCTTGAATTTGGAGTCTCTTTCGCCTCATACAATCATCGAGTCAGTTCATGTAAATTTCTTCGCGAATATTTTTCTGAAGAGAGAAGGTAAAAATGAACATGATATTCCTTCAGATTCTAATACAAGGAAGAGAAAATCCTCTGATGCTTTAAAAGAACTTGAACCAAGGAGGAGCTCCAGAATTGCTAAGCCAAAGTCCTTTGGACCAAACTTCTATACTCTCATGATCGAGAATGAGCCTGTAACTTATTCTGAGGCGATATCCTCACATGATGCTCCATTCTGGCGAGAAGCAATCGATGATGAAATACATTCAATTATGTCCAACAATACTTGGATATTGGTGGATCTTCCTCCTGGTTGCAAGCCAATTGGTTGCAAGTGGATCTTCAGGAAGAAATTAAAGTCCGACGGAACGCTGGATAAGTACAAGGCTAGATTGGTAGCAAAAGGTTTCAAGCAGAAGAAGGAGATTGACTATTTTGACACTTTTGCTCCTGTTGCAAGAATTTCTTCTATCAGGCCTTTGATTTCCTTAGCTGCTATCAATAATTTGATAATTCATCAGATGGATGTAAAGACTGCTTTCCTCAATGGTGATCTAGTAGAGGAAATCTATATGGAGCAACCTGAGGGGTTTGTATTACCTGGACAAGAAAAGAAGGTGTGCAAATTAATCAAGTCATTATACGGCTTGAAACAAGCTCCTAAGCAGTGGCACGAGAAATTTAAGAAGGTGATGATATCTGCTAGATTTAAGATTAATGGAGAAGATATATGCATCTTTAGTAGATTTCAAGGAAACTCTGGTGTCATAATCTGCCTCTATGTTGATGATATGCTCATTTTTGGGACAGACATGGAAAGTCTCATAGAAACTAAGAAGTATTTGACTTCTAGTTTTGACATGAAAGATCTTAGCGAGGCTGATGTGATTCTAGGAATCAAAATCGTGAGGTTCCAAAATGGTCTAGCACTTACGCAGTCCAGCTATATCGAGATGATTCTGAAAAAGTTTAATCGCTTTTCAGATTCTGCAGTCTCTGCTCCAATTGATCCTAGTGTAAAGTTGGTACGTAATTAAGGTAAAATGATGGATCAACTCGAATATTCTCGAATTATCGGCAGTCTTATGTATGTAATGTACTGCACAAGGCCAGATATAGCCTTTGCAGTGGGTACTTTGAGTAAGTACACAAGCAATCCAGGAAAGGAGCATTGGAATGCTTTGCTGAGAATCCTAAAGCACTTAAAAGGTACTATGGATTATGGATTGCACTATGGCAAATTTCCAGCTGTAATCGAAGGGTACAGCAATGCTACATGGAACTCTGACAGAGAAGACTCATTATCTGTGACTGCCTGGATCTTCACATTGGGTGGAACAACGATTTCATGGAAATCAAAGAGGCAAACATGTATAACTTATTCCTCTATGGAATCGGAGTTTATAACACTTTCCTCTGCCGGAGAAGAAGCTGAATGGTTGAAAAGCATATTGGAAGATATCCCGATATGGAACAAGCCAATACCACCCTTGACAATATATTGTGACAAATAGCTGCAATGCTTCAAGCTAACAGCGAGTGTTACAATGGAAAATCTAGACAGGTGCGATTGAAGCACAATCATGTGAGAAGGATCCTAGCTGATGGAATTATTTCGAGAAGGATCCTAGCTGATGGAATTATTTCTACTCAGTATGTGAAGTCCAAATCAAATTTGGCAGATCCATTGTCAAAGGGCTTGGGTAAGGACCAAGTGTTCGAGACATCGAAAGGGATGGGATTAAAGCCTGTAATTGAATAAGTTGTACTGTTATGGGAACCCAACCCAGTGATATTTCTCCTGGGTTCAATGGGAAAAACAAGTAACATAACAACTTGTGTGATCACATCAATGTTCCTTTCCCTATGATGCGATGTGGTACTCAATCCTGTAACCGATGAGGTTGAGATTTAGATCTCTTAATGAATCTATAGATCAATTTTCGATTGGAGTGTACAGGATCACTCTTGATAGATTCACCGTATAATCAATGAGGAGGCTGATACATGAGTCTCTTAATGAATTCTATAGATCGGATTTCCGATTGGGGTGTACACAATCACTCTTGATAGATTCACCGATTTATCTTGCAATGAAGAGGGTGAGATTAAATTCTCTTAATGAGTCCATAATCGGTATTTGGTTAGAGTGTGCAAGGTCACTCTTGATGGACACACCGATCTGAGTGTGGAAGTAGGGCCGCTTCTATAGGATCCAGATAGGTTTGATCCTTAACGACACTCAAAAGTACGGATTCCGGACACATGGCCGAAACGTGTCAAGCTTTAGTACTTTATCTCCGAACAGAAGTATGTGTGTAGTATTTCTTCTTCATCAACGTGGTTCTTGGTTCAAGACATCGTTCACCAAGTTCCTAGATGAAATCAAGGATACTTACACTAGGTAATGGTTCAAGTCCAAAAGACACCATTATTGATGCACATAACTGTACCGATCAACAAAATGAATTTGAAACAAGTGGGGGATTGTTGGAGTTATGTGTTTCAAATTAATTACTTATTAATTTCCTAAAATTCCAACAGATGTCTTAATGAAGTTTTAGTAAACTATAAATAAAGTTTTCTTCATTTAATGTATTAACTTGCTTTAACTTATATGTTATTTATGAAAATTAAATACCTTCATTAATATTAAGTTAATTACATCCCCATTTCTACTCGTATAAATAGTAGGTTTACGAATCCTACAAAATACACTCTCTCTAAACTAGTTAGAATTAATTAAAAGATATTTGAAAAGTGTTTTTTTCAAATTATTGAGTTTGAGTGTGTGAGTTTCATATTTTCTGTTGATCGGATGGAGATAAATACACAGGTTCATGAAGAAGAAGTGCAACCTTCATGAACATACAGTTTTGATATCTGGGCTTAGTTGAATCCCGGAGATAGTGCTGCCACTTGTCTTCCGTTGCACGTGGGAGAGGCTTCAACTATCTTCAAGAAGCGATTACGTGCCTCTAAGCCTTGATATTCCCCGTTTTAATATATTGGTTCCAACATTTTAACTTCTCTTAATTCAATACTTTAGTTGGTCCAGCTGGTTCAAATGTAAAACTGGACAAAAGGTTTCATGGCATTTCCAAACAAGCCCTATAGAAATAAATGCAAAATTTATTTTTCTAAAAGTAATTCAAAACCCATTGTTCAAAATGCAATATTAGATTCCAGAAAAAACAGGTTTGATAAAATGGGGTGGTAACTTTGTACAGATATGTAGACTTGTGCTGAAAATGTCATACAATTATTTATTTATTTTTTTTTTTTTCACTTCCCAATTAGTAACATTTGGCTACATTGGACAATGTGGTTATGTAAAAAATTTGGAGGACTAGTAACTAATAAATTCTTAAAAACATTATCATCTATCAATTAGATAAAAAAAAAAAAAAAAAAAAAAAAAAAAAAAAAAAAAAAAAAAATTGAATTTTTATTTTTTATTTTTTATTTTTTAGATGCATCGTCTCATACTAATGAAAATTTCACACTCTGTTTTATTTACCGCACACGTGAAAATTCCGCACTCTTTAATTAATAGATTTATTTTTATTAGTTAGTTGTCTTATGCACACGATACAGGCATACAATAATTTATTGGTGGTGATAGATTTATTGTTATTAGTTAGTTGTCTTATGCACATGCGCACAATTATTTGTTGGTGGTGATAGACTTAGAGTTATTAGTTAGTTATCTTATGCATACACACAATTATTTATTACGTTCAAGTTGAATGTATTGTTTGTAGAATTGAAAATATCTTTTGAATATATTTTATGTGTTTATCGTCACATTTTAACGAAAATTTGAAAGCACTTTTATAATTTTATTACGCTTATGTATAAATGGCCTCATATTTAAAAGTTTCCTACGAATTTTTAAAATTTTAGAAATTTCAAGACTGACCCTGCCATTATGTGAAGTGCTACATTTTTTTTCTCCTGGGATGTGGTCTTCCTATGCCTTTCTACTACGCTCAATTATGTCTTTCTTTTTTCAGTTAAAGGCTAAGCTTTACGGCAATCCTTTGATTCCTTTCACACCAACTCAAGTACCCTTGATTTAATTGTCTTAATTTTTATTATCACTGAACAGGGCTGCAAGTTGGGCTGGCCCAGACCCAACCCAACCTCAACCCGAATCGGGTTGGGTTGGGCCAGCCCGAATTGTATCCAACATGGGTTATGGTCAAAACCCAGCCCGAATATTTTCAGGTCGGATTGACGGGTTGAGTTTTTTAAAATAATAAATTTTTTTTTTCAAAAATTATCTATATTATATAGATATATATATATATATATATATTTGATTATATTATTATTAAAAAATAACAAAATTTTAGGGCAAATTATTTCAGCCTCCCCAATCGCAGGTCTCATTCTCAACTCTCTCTTTCTCTCTCTATGCAACTGCAAACTACAAAATCTAAAAGAATCAAAAGTTCAAAACCCATATATTGTCAAATCTGTCTGCAAGAATCAGAAGTTCAAAACCCATATATTTTCTGATCTCGACGACGATGGTGATCGATAAATCACCACCACCACTCGCCGGAATCTGATGCCAACTGCAGAGCTCCTCCTCTGCCGCCACCCGAAGAAGAAACTGTCAAAGAAGTGCTCTCCGAGACACCAATTCCGAAACCACCCATTTCTACACAGATCGAACCCACCAACAACAAGCTGCCTAAAGTCGACGAAGCCAAGATCCAACCAATGGCTGTGATTAAACCAACAGATGATATCATCTCTGAGGTTTATGAGGTTTCAAACTTGTACAGTTTCAGCGAGAGTTTCTCGACGACGACGGTGACCGATAAAAGAGATAACGACGGAGAAGTGAAACAAAGAGTCGAGTGGTCCCCTGCGAAGGTCTCAAAGAGACGGTCGTCCTCTGGCGAAATCGTCGGAGCGAGGGAGAGGAAACACAGATCTTCGGCGAGGAGGCAGGCGCCATCGCCGGAAAGAAGAAGCAACATCACATCGAGGTCGGCTCAGGATCAGACAACCACGACCAGACGGCGCAATGTAAGGCCACCAAACGGTCTTCGGCGAGACCATGGTAAGGGTTAAGGCCGAAGGTCGATGTCACCAGTGACACGTGGAGAGGCTACAGCATCTCCGCCGCCAAGACACATAAACCCGAATTTAACTACGAACGGACGGTCCGGTGAGCGGTCACCGGTGAAAACCGCAGATCAAACCTGAGACTGGATGAGTCCCTTTTTCATGTTGGGGACATCGGCAGAGAGAGAAAGAGAAAGAAGAGAGATGAGAGAGAAAGGAGGGAAAAAAAAAAATTAATTTTGGGTTTTGGCCTGTTGGGTTCGAGTTGAGCCCGAGCCCAACCCAAATATGTCTAGGTTTTGACAAAACCCAACCAGAACATTAACCCGATTTGTGAATTGTATGTCCGGATTTCAAAATTTCTGGGTTAGGGTTGGACTAGGCTAGGATAGCCCACTCAAGTTGCAGCCCTATCACTGAAGTTAACTGCCTTGGCTCACTAATTTTATGTATGTAATATATATACATTGAAAACCGGCATCAGCCAATTATTCACTTTTTTCAAATTATTAATTCGGAATTTTTACATATAAGTATAGTTATGGATCCATATTTACAGTATTATATAGTCAAAATTTTATAGTTTCGAAAAAATGAATTTGACCTAATTGCCTAGGTGGACATAAACTTTTTCTATTTATTATTTTTTTTTTTTTTGCCTAAAATATCCTTTTACTCATCCCTTTCCCTTCCGGCCTTCTCTCTCCATCTCCACATCACCTGTGTCTCTCCATCATCCGCTGATGCTGCACCACCACCACGAAACCGCGATTAAAACTAGTTTCATACTATTTTGAAACTAATTTCAATTGGGAAATTGTAAAGAACAAAAACCCATCTATGGAATTACAAGTGAAAACCCATGAATAGAAAATCAATCAAAGCAAAAAAAGATAAATTTATAAAGCAAAACCAACTTGACTACGTGTTAGAGGAGACTCTTTATGCTGAAGATTTCCTTGTACATCAGCAATTCCCCATATATAGAGCTAGCATATGAGTGGGTAATAATGTAATGTTAAATTACACGTACAGTTTGGTCTGCAGTTCCCTACTCAGGATAATAGGCACAGTTCGGCCTGCAGTTCCTCCTCAGGATTATCATCACAATAGAAAATCGCTGCTAACCCCAATGTTGAAAGCACTTCATGGACGGCACTTTTCAATATTTTCTTCCACCAGGGATGTTTCTTGACAGTAGTATTCTGAAAGCTGTATGAAAAACTTAGCATTCCAGTGGATGCCACAGAACCCACCGTTTCCAAGGGTTCTGTACATTTGTTCCCCTCCACCTCATTGTATAGTCGATACAAGGAGTTCTGCACACGACCGATGTACATGTCCTTTTTGAAGAGGGGACGCTTGCAGTACAGCATGATGACAAGCGTGATCCCTCCTTCTTTTGTCATCTCCGACTCATTTATGGTGAAAC